TTTCAGCTTGATGGTTTGGGGAGCTGTTTGGGTTGGTGGGAGATCAAGCTTAGTGGAGTGCGTTGGCAAGATAAATTTTGCAAAATACGTCGAAATATTGGAGGAAGAACTCTTGCCACTTTATTCCTCGGGTTTCGTGGACAAGAACACAACGCTGTTCCAGGAAGATGGAGCACCGTGTCACACTGCAAGAAACACCCAAAAGTGGCAGGAAGAAAATGGTATCCAGAAATTGCCCTGGCCGAGCCAATCTCCTGACATGAACCCCATCGAAAACCTCTGGGCCATACTTGACCGGCAAGTCAAGAAACAGCCAAAAAAAGAGCGATCTACTCCAAGTTTTGAAGCAAGAGTGGGCGAAAATCCCATAATCTACAATTGAGAGATGATTCTCCCGATGCCCCAAAGGATCAACGAACTCCACGAAGCGAAAGGAAGATCTACTAGATACTAATTAAATTAGAAATATATCAACTCATGTGAATATGACTGAAAATGTTCATTTTTTCTGAAAAGGTGGTGTCTATTTACTTGTGACCACGCTGTGTATTGTACTGAATTATCACCTATTTATTACTGAATCTTATGTTGAAAAGGGTTACGTTTGAAGTATTTAGAAATGTAACTGTTTTTGTGTTTGATTGTTACGCACAAATTCCTACATATGTTACTTTTGTTTGCCTAGGTCTTAAGCGTCCTTTGTAAATGTTTATAAAAGTTACATCTTTGTCAGTACAAAGGGTTTCAGAGTAATTTTGAATACATGTAGATTCACAGTACTCTCAAACGTAATAGGCTGATTATGACACTGTATAAAAACAATCTTACACATGTGAAGAACTGGATAAAAACATTGTCAAGTTATCATAACTATTGAAGTTATCTATTTGAACTGGCGACTGTAAGTGAAGTGAAATACCACGTTAGGGTTAAAACGTTAATAACACCATGAATCACGCTCATAGATAAACGTGCAATATAGGCTTGACTATTTTTATCCCATTACTTGTTGCTAAAATACCAGAACTATATTTGGAATCTAACATAAAAGTAATGAAATGTTAGTAATTATTACCTAAAGGAGACGTACAAACAA